TATTAGTTATTACATGTTTTGTACATTTAATTTTAATTTGGTAACAATAAATACTATTATTATTATTATTATTACATTTAGGTAGGTACCTACCTAAATATTTTTAATTTATAGTTTATACTTTACAAGATATAAGAATACTGGATATATGTCTTTGATGCCTGTATGCATAGTCAATTTATGTGTCACATAAATCGACTATGCATACTGACATAATATTTTTATTTTTTATTTTTTAATACATTATAATTTACTAGTTTATTACTAATAATTAGTAATTAGTATTTACTAGGTACTTACTTTAATTGGTTCTTCTGTCCTCAAGAATGAGTTGAGAAATAGGAGATCATTTACTCTGCTTGGCATCAATCTAGCTCTTTTTTGTGAAACAACTTGCCCGGCTCACAGTGTTCCAGAAATTTGATTTAGGTGGACAAAATTAGAATTTTCATAATCATTAATTGAACATAAAAATGAATTTAATTTGTTGATAGTCAGCCACTAATTATATTATATTGGTTTTTAAATTGATACGCTATCGCATACAGTTATAATAGTGTACTGATTATACTAATAGTCTGAGATAAGATTTTCAATTACCAGCTAAATTGTTTGAGCGTATAGGTTTTATACCGTTAGTGTCGTTCGTTGAATGAAGTTAGTTCGTTCATTTTTCTTCAACATTATAGATACACTAGTGGAAGGTATGTATATATTTTTTTTTTTATTTTTTTTATTAAGTTTTGCATGAACAATTTAAGTAATATATATAGAAATATTTAAAAATGTAAGATACATTTTTTTTTTTAATTATTGAGGATACTGAAAAAATAGTAGTGGATAGTAGAGGTTTGAACTTGGTGTTTTCTATTACCTTAACTTGTCCTCTAAACCAGTGGTTCTCAACCTTTTTACTACCCCGGACCACTTTGATAATATTTTATAGGTCGCGGACCACCTTAATTCTACGAAGACCTTTTTTTTGTTCATCAACAAGAATACACAAAATTAATCAAAACATGTTCATTTTTGTGTTCACTTGCAATTGAAAGCCAAATCAATAATGTAGATACGAAACAAATTGGTGCGATAGGATACGGGTAATATAATATGCAATAAAATTCCCAACACTATACTAAAAATAGTTCAGATAACAAAACAATACGGACCGGCATCTCTTTAATCGCGGACCGGCGGTTGAGAACCACTGCTCTAAACGATATTATATAATTTGGTTGCGGCAAGTTGCTGCAAAATACATAGTACCTATTATATTAAAAAAAAATATTATATTTTTCAAATTCATCAAAAATTATATTTCACCATAAAACCAAATGACAAAAAAAAATAACTTATGTAACTTTTTATGTGACACAGAAACAGAGAAAGAAGAATACGAAGCAGCTACATCTGATGGAGAATCTGTCAGTTCTAGTGATTTTGATTTATACAATAATATGTAAAAAAATTATAATCTAATTATATCATTAGAATAAATAATATACTAACTACTAAGCAGTATATATTTTTAATTCTAAAAACCTGAATTTTAAAATGATCTAAGTATCCGAAAAGTAAAACAAATTATAAATAAATAATTTTGTCCTGCTAAAAACCTTTTCTGGAACACTGTGCTTGTGCACGGCTTGGCTAAAAAGTCGTTCACTCGGAACACTTGTGGCTAAAATGCTTAAATACTTCTTTGCCAACTTGGAAATAACAGGAAATTTGTACTCGTTAGCTTTCCACCAAACTAAGGGATCAATACTTTTTGGAACATCTTCAGACTGTTGGTACCGTTTCAGCTGTTGGACGCAATCATCTGGTATATCTTCATCATCACTGTCCGCAAGTAAAGAGTGACTTTTTTGCTTCTCTTTATTACAAGGTTTATGAACTTTGTTTTTTACTTCTTCCGCTGAGCACTCAGATGTGGATGGCGGTTTTTCATTCTCATCTGTTTCATTTTGTAGTAATTCTTGTTACACTAATGCCCATATATTTGTATTCTCTTCTTCTGGAAGATATTTTAAACTGCGATAGAGTGGATCTAAGGCAGCAGCTTTGTGTATAATATCTCCCATTTTATTTTGTCTTTTTTTTGAGATTAGAGCTAATACGTAACTTTATATAATTTACAATGATACTGTCTGTTGATATACATTCAACAGAACTTATTAAGTTCTTGAATAATCTCCCAACAATCGATAAGGTTACATATTTATCATCACCAAGAATTTTAGTAGCCGATTTAAATGGTTCAAAATGTTTATTAAATCAGCAATAATTTCATTCTGATTGTTCACGCGTGAACAATTATGTGCTGCTCTCTAGTAGTAATCCCGGCACCTATGCTCCTCAACCACTGGATTGTATGCCTCTGATTGTATCTGTAATCAATTTTGTTTTTTCTGTTTGTAATGTTGTTATAGTATGTAAGTTAATGTTAGTAGGTACTAGTTTTTTCTATATAATAAGAAATAAAAAAGAAGGCTGAAGTAGCTAAAGTTTATGTGTATCTTTGTTTTGTTTTAATTATAAATTAAATTGTCAGCACGCACAATAGTGTTGCGTTGTGTGGACATTTTGTTAAAAGAAAATATATTATAATCACTACCAGAAGTGAACTTTTCAATTACTGAGTGTATACAGCAATAAAAGTGAAATATTATGTAACCAAAAGAAAATGTTATTATTATTGTAAATGTATTATGCTGTTATTATTTAGTTATTACAAGCAAGCAGTAACTGGCCAGTTCCTGTGCTCCACGATACTGTAAGTTTTTTTGTAATTTTAATATACTATTATATATCTTGTTACCACCTAGTATTATTTTGGTATTTAGCCACAACAACTCTGTTATCTGTCTTACACACCCTCTTGTTCACTGCAGGCAAACCCTCCGTTTACAAGCAAGGTTGTGTCCTATATAATATAGAACTCTAGGTGTCGGGGAACCCATCATACAGCTTGAAGGTCCTCGCCCGTACACTGATTTACTGTTATATACCAGTCTTCAGTCTTACGGTTACTTCTTAAACAATTATTAACAGCTTCAAGATTTTATAGAGATATAATCATCATCATGTCATGGGTAGAGTTCCATCTAGTTATACAATCTTGCACCAGTTTAGTCTTAGGAATCTGAAGTTGGTCTTGTTCTTCTTCGAGACTGTGTTGAGCCACTGCACTTCTGTGAAAATGGCCAACTATTTTACGAAGCATCATGAAGAGTTTTGTAATTGAGTGATGTTTAAGTCCATAATTTACAGCCAGTTGTATGCTATGGGCAGAACATCTGACCAAATTGACTTCTTCCAAATTTTGTACCGCTTTAGTCATATTAGGTGCATTGTCACAGACTATTGCACAGACTTTGCCATCAATTTCCCAATAATCCTTAATAATTGTATTAAGATTATCTTCAATGTTCGATGATGTGTGAGACTCTTCAAGGTTCACTGTCTCTAACACTCTACATTTCAATTTCAAATTTTCAATAAAATGACATGTAACACCAAGGTAACTATTAACGGCTCGTGATGTCCAAAAATCAATTGTAAGGCAAATATGAGGTATTTTTTGAAGATGGCTTTTATAATTAATTTTTTCTTGAGATGTTATAAGATCAAATAGTCTTGTTATAGTAGAGTTATTTGGAACAACATATTCAGGAACAGCCAAATTCATAAACGCTCTAGACCCTTTTTCTTCAATAACATTAAAAGGCCGTACATCTCTAACAACAAAGTTCAGTAGACCTCTAGTTAGCTCTTTGTGGCAATAGTAAATTGGGTGACAATTTGGACTTAGAACTTGTAAAAAATGATGATATTGTGGATGTTTCGGATTTAGAAGGGCCTTTTGTGCATTGTTGCAAGTGTGGTTTTAGATTTGTTGTGTTACCGGAATGTGCTATTGACAGTGAGCAGTTACGGCAAGTAACTTTTTTATTATTTGTTATTACACCACTAGAATCTACTTTAAAACCAAATGTCTTCCATACATCACTCCGCGCACCAGCTAATGTCACAGGCTTATAATCAGCCATTATTATTTAATATTAAATTATTATTAAAAACTAAAAATGAAAAACTATTTTGTAATTAGACGATTACTATATTAATGAGAAAACAAAACATAAACAAAATATTTTAACGAATCACAAACGACACCGAAACGTCCGAAACTAACTGTCTAAATGACTGAGCTACAGAGGTATGAGACTATTAGACTAATGAGTCACTGGTAAAAATAATTATATTTCTGTTATCCTGTGCTATTTTTAACCTGAATACCGGAAAAACCGATACATTTCGATTTTCGATATATCGTACGATATATTACGATAATTTTTGGCGTAGGGAAAGTGGCGTCCCTCTCGCCCAGTGCTCTTAATTGGGTGCTGCAATGGCCCCACCCTGATCTTAAGTGATCGGAGTGGTCTGGCCCTCCAGGTTGGGGGTTGAGTGTCGGGTTAAATACACGACCTTGTAAAACACTTCTGTTCAGGAATCGAATAACACCAAGCCTCGGACTAGATTGGGAAAAAAAACTGGAATTTGGATATTGGAATTAAAATGTGGTACTTGGAATATACGAACACTATATAAACCTGGAGCAACTGTAGAATTAGTAGGAGAGATAGAGAGATATAAAATGAAATGCGTGGCACTACAAGAGGTGAGATTGGAAGACGCGGGTACAAGAAAGATATCACAAACAACAATCATAAATGGAAGAAGTGAACGAGGTCCCAAACTAGGGACTGGTTTCGCTGTGCATGAGTCAATCACACATATGATTAAAGAGTTCAAAGATGTAAACCCGAGAATCTCAACATTGACCCTGAAGGATAAAAACCTTCACATAGTATTAATCAACGTACATGCACCGACAGATGATAAAGATGAGGAAAAAAATGAAGAGTTCTATGATACATTAAAGGAGGTAGTTGATACTACGGTGGGAAATATAAAAATTGTACTGGGCGATCTTAATGCAAAAATTAGGAAAGGAAAGGATATACCATAACGTGGCAGGAGTGCACAGCCTTCATGAACACTCGAATGATAATGGTTCAAGACTAGCGAATTTTGCATTAGGAAAAGGTTTAATAATCAAGAGTACAATGTTCCCATGCAAAGATATATATAAATATACTTGGGTGTCACCGGATGGGAGGCACAAGAACCAGATAGATCATGTACTGATCAATAATAGGTTCAGAAATAGTATAACTAATGTAAGAACATTAAGAGGAGCCGATGCAGACTCCGACCATCTTCTAGTAGGTATTTGGATAAGAGTTAAGTTCAAGAAACAATACATACACAAATTAAATACTATAGATAGATACGATATTGAGAAATTAGAGGAAGTTAATATACAGAAAGATTATAGCAGAAGAATCTGCGAAACTCTTAAAGTACAACAAACAACAAATACAAACGATGTGAATGATGTGTGGATCAAAATTAGAAATTCTGTGCAACAAACTGCAAAAATAACAATAGGAATAAAGAAAAAGAAGAAAAAACCCTGGTTTAACAAAATATGTGAAGACGCAGTACAGAGGAGAAAGATATCCCGAGAGGAATGGCTGAAAGACACATACAATGAAGAGAGGACTGCAGAGTTCAGTAGACGAAGGAAAGAAGCTCACAATATAATAAGATGCGAAAAAAGGAAATATTTCCAAAACATTATGAAAGATGCAGAACAGGACTTTAGGCTGAATAGAACCCGGGATATGTATAAGGACATAAAAGGAGATTTTAAAAAGAAATAACGTTTTTTCAAGGATGATGATGGAATGTTGATAACTGCAGAAAAAGAAATAGCTGAAAAATGGAGAAAGTATTTTGACAAACTATTAAACTGTGAAGAACCAACCGAAAAGTTCCCCTTTAATATTGAGAACATAAATACACAAGAATGTACATATCCTACATTAGAGGAAATAAAAGGACAAGTGCATAGATTAAAAAAATCACAAATCCCCAGGGGAGGATTGTGTTCAAGCGTAACTCTTAAAAAAAGGAGAAGATGTTATACAGTGGATTTGGCAAGTGATTAGTATTGTATGGACAACAGAGAAACTTCCAGATGATTGGAAGGTGGCGGTAGTATGCCCAATTCATAAAAAAGGAGACAAGCAAGATTGCAACAACTACCGCGGAATATCCTTGCTCAATGTAGCGTATAAAATATTCTCGAATTGTGTTTTAGACAGAATAAAAGAAAAAGCGGATCAAATAATAGGACACTATCAAGGAGGGTTTAGAGCTGACAGATCCACGACGGACCAGATGTTCATAATTAAACAATTATATCAAAAATCTTGGGAGTTAGATAAAGAGATTCATACACTTTTCGTGGACTTCAAGAAAGCGTAGGGTATTAGGCTACAAGACACGTCGATAGGCATACTTGCTTATGCTGATGATATAGTATTGATGGAAGAGTCTCAAGATAGGTTGAAGAGTTTATTCAGTAGGTTGCATAAAGCAGCATCAAAAGTAGGACTATGTGTAAATGAGGGAAAAACGGAGTATATGTTTTTGAGTAGAAGGGAACTACCTTTCTGTCAGTCCATAAGAATAGATCACTATGAGTTTAAAAGGGTAGAATAGTTCAAATATCTAGGTTCTATTTTGACCGAAAAAAATAATGTAGCAAACGAGGTAGCAGCAAGAATTCAAGGTGGGAATAGATGCTATTATGGACTGACTAAGGTACTAAGCTCACGAACAGTATCGCAAAGAATGAAGGAACGATTAAATACGTCCTTAATACGACCGGTTGTATTGTATGGATCGGAAACATGGACGAGCATAGATTCATGGTCTTTGAAAGAAAAGTGTTGCGGAAAATATATGGCCCGGTCAAAGACGAAATAACTGGGGAGTGGAGACGAAAAAAAACAACATAGAGCTGGAAATACTGTATGGTAGTGCGAACATATTGGAGGTCATCAGAAGCAGAAGACTACGGTGGGCTGACCGCGCTTGGAGGAGCCAAAATCCACTTTTACATGCAGTGATTGAACAAAACCCTGTAGGTAAAAGGCCTCTGGGAAGATGTTGTAAAGAAGGACGTTGAGCAGTTGGTAGGTTGTTCCAATTGGAGAAATCTACCATTGGATTGAGAAGGATGGAAGCTTGGTTGTGAGACGGGATGGTCATTTATTAGGCCCAATAAACCCCCCCCCCCCCCAAAAAAAAAAAAAATACTACGATTATCGATACCTAAATTTCCGAAAAAAAGTTCTCGATATCGATAATCGAATCGAAATATCAATATCGTTGAAGAAGCCTACAAATTAATAAGATTACCAAAAATTTAAGTTGTTATGTACTTACTAGCTTCTGTCATAATACTGATACCAAAGCCTTTCCAAGATTTTTTGGGATCAGACAAACTTTTGCTCATCTTATCGATAAGGGCATATTCTTTTTACTGGGATATTTGCAATACAATTTGCTATCCTTCATATATGTCCATGATATATGTACAAGATAAATATAATGTTTACCATCAATTGTTTTTTCATCAAATTGTATTACAACATACGATGTATTCTTCTTATAATCCATACCTGTAACCAACCATGGAATATTGAAATAAAATAACAAATGTAATATGAAAAATAAAGTTATAACTTAGTAATTATTTTATAATGAAATAAATACTACTAATATTTGTTTATGTTATAATTTTAAAATTTGACAAAACTATATCAATATTTTGTAAAAGTATAGGTGCTTAATTATATAAAATAAATAATCATATATATGATAGAATTTGCATGGCTAAGTTGATTGAAATTTTTTTCTCTAATTTAAAATACAATAACTAATAATAATAATGATAAACTTAATAATAAGTGATATGTATAGTAGATATCATAATAGTTTTAGGAATCATGTAGTAATGTAACTGCATAACTCCGACTGCCTTTCTCAAAAAGAACACATTTTTTTAAAACATTATTTATTGAAATAATACTTTTTCTTTTACATAATTGACCCAATTTCATTATTCCAGTTTCTGTTGATTTGTAAGCGTATTTCCAACATCTTGGACTTTGTTTTAAGCCATACAAACTTCGCCGAAGCTTACATACTTGATTTTAGCCATCTTCGTAACCTGGTGGTTGTACCATGTAAATTTCTTCCTATAGTTCTCCGTACAGAAATGCTGTCTTGATGTCGAATTGTCGTAATATTAATTTTTCCTCAGCTGCTACTGCGAATATCGCCCTAATTGATTCGTATCTGACCACTGGCGTAAATGTTTCATGGTAATCTATACCATATTTCTGTGAACAACCTTTAATGACCAATCTGGCCTTAAATTTATCGATATTACCGTCACTTTTATATTTGGTTTTGAAAACCCATGCGTTACGTAATGCAACCTTGCCCTGAGGCAAATTAACTAGTGACCAAGTGTTGTTTTTGTGTAGTGACGTAATATCATCACTCATAGCATGCTCCCACTCGTTTTTCTGGGGGCCAGCGATCGCCTCATCACGATTTAGTGGTTCAACGAGATTGGCGACGACACATTATACCTGATCGACGCTTTTAAAGTATTCCGATCTCGTAGCACCATGCCCACCCCTGTTGTCGACCGTCGTCAATTTGACCGGATCGTCCTTGATTTGAGTCTGAGTATCTGTGAATTCTAATTTGTCTGCAATTATATTTTCCAATTTATTACCTTCGTTTTAGAATATAATATCTCTAGACACTGAAATTCTATTTGTTTTCGAATAATACACAATTAACAAAGCACAACAAATTTTACAAATATAACGATTTAGTACATTTATTGGAACAACAATTAACATGGACTTATGATGATAATAGACATAAATATCTCTCTGTGTTATATAATTATCAAATATAACAAAAGCTATTATTATATATTATATATAGGTAACGGAACAAATCTGTATGCAACAGGAAAAGGTAATATTAATATATTATCATACGTGAACGGTAATTGGGATAAAAATTACTTGACAAATGTATTGCACGTGCCGGGAAAATCTTGACTGGTCATTATGGGCAAAAACTGTGAACACAGCGGTTTATACACTTAATCTAACCGGAACGAGTTCACAGAATGGTAAGCCTGCTTACGAGTTATATTATAAAGTCGTGCCAGATATTAAACACTTAGGAGTTTTTGGTACTGCGGTATATACACACATGCCAAAGCAAAAACGTTAGAAATGGGATCCAAAGAGTGAAAAAGGAATATTTGTTGGCTACTCGAACAGCACGAAAGGTTATCATGTATGGTATTCGAAAACAAATAAAATATCCGTGTGCAGAGACATTATATTCGAAGATGAATGTAATAATTATGAAAATGTAATTGCAGACACATTAGAGTTTACAGACACTCAATTAGTTCAACGCGTGAGAATCACAAAAACATAGTCGATGATAGAAATGTTATGGTTCTACATGACAGGAATACACTTAAGAAACCGGACAGGTATAATGTTCCGACTTTTATTGCGAACTGTGTCAATCCATTGAATTATGAGTCAATTACTGGGTCAAACAAAAATGAATGGAATAATGCTATGATGGACGAAATTAATACGTTGCACGAAAATCAGACTTGGACTCTAGTCGATTTACCACAGGATGAAGTTGCATTACAAAATGCATGGGTGTTCAAAACCAATTATAAAACTGACGGTAGTATAGATAAATTAAAGGCCAGATTGGTCATTAAGGGTTGTTCACAGAAAAACGCTATAGATTACCATGAAACATTTTCGCCAGTGGTCAGATACGAATCAATTATTGCGATATTCGCAGTAGCAGGTGTGGAAAAATTAATACTACGACAATTCGACATCAAGACAGCATTTCTGTACGGGGAACTACAGGAAGAAATATACATGGTACAACCACCAGGTTACGAAGATGGCTAAAATCAAGTATGTAAGCTTCGGCGAAGTTTGTATGGCTTAAAACAAAGTCCAAGATGTTGGAAATACGCTTTAAGAACTTTTTGAATGCATTTGGTTTACAATGTACCTAAACGGATGCATGTGTATTCAGAGCTGATGACAACCAAATTATTCTTGCAATATTTGTTTACGATGGTTTAATCGCGGCAGATAATGAAGATATAATAGAGAAACTTTTAACGAACTTGGAGAAAGAGTTTGAGGTTAAAAAGGGAAACTTAGAATATTTTCTAGGTATATAGGTAAACTTAATGAAAAATGGTGCATTATTTGTGCATCAGAAAAATTATGCATGTAGCAAAATTATGATTAATAAATTAAAGCTCATTGGAACTTGGTAAAACGGATTATACGATATGTCAAACGAACATTTAATTATGGCTTGTATTTTAATCATAATACACAACTGTCATTAGAAATATTTAGCGATGCAGATTACGCAGGTGACGTTCAGACACGACGTTCAACGTCAGGATTTCTATTCAGATACGGGTCAAGCATAATTTCATGGACATCACAGAGACAACATTGTGTGTCATTGTCATCGACATAGGCTGAATATATTTCGGCCAGTGAAGCTGTAAAATGTGGTAAAATGTGGATTACACGGTTGATAATAAGCTTATCAAAAACAGGTTATAAATAACCGGTTTTTTTTCATTGATAATCAGAGTGCTATTCGTTTAGTTAAGAATCCAGAGTTTCATAAAAGGACAAAACACATAGACGTACGATATCATTTCATACGGGAGAAATACGAAGGACAATTTCAACTACTGTACATTGGAACA